GAGAGTTTATGGTATTCATACTATTTACTATAAAGAGATTTAAAACTCAATTAAAATGAAAAACCGTTTTTATTAGGCGGTAAAACCACTTGATATAAATAAGATAAACTATTCAGAGAACACACATTAATTTGGAAATAACCACAATGCAAATTGTTTTGGGATAATTTTGTCCAAAATTGGCGCAAATATATTCTTTTTAATTAAAATAGTTGCTCTATAATATGCAGGTAGTTTAATGTGCCAGTAATAATAATTTTAATGCAAAGTTTGGCAATCAGTTTTTGATGTTTCCCTGAACCTGATGGACATTTCAATTGTCATCTTCTGAAGGACAAATTAATTATTTGCTGAAATTTGGTTGCCATTTGCTGGGGCAACAGAGCAAAAACTTTTAGCCCCACCATGACAAAACCACCTCCAATTCGAGTTCTCATCCTCCCCATTAATTCTCCTGCTCAAAAAGAACCTGACAAATCGATGAGTTGGGTTGTGTGAGTGCTCGGCGTGTTCGTGTGAGCCCAGAATCGTTATGAGGGCATCATTTTTGGCTTTCATCTCTCTGTCGCTGGGTTTTCGCCTTCCCCTCATTTCCACTCACCGCCATTTCCCTGGGTTTTCCTCGCCGTCAACTGGATATAAAAAATATTTTGAAAACTTTTTGCTTGCATAAGGCTGAGTGCTTGATGTGTGCGGTTATATGGATTGCGGCCGTCGGCCATGGCTCAAGTCAGGAATCAGGTTTCAATATCTCGAAAGGCGCTGCAAATTGCCTGCGAAAATCTATTGCGAATTTTACGTGATTTCTCCTTCCCAGATCTCACGGACGTTTTATGGAAATCCGTTTGTGGAAATATACAGAAAATGCCTGGCTCTTTTATTGCATTCGAACTTTTTTGTTATTCTTTAATTTGATTTCGTTTCTTCTTTGTTAATGAAAACGATGGTGTGTTTCCATTTATTTCACCAGGAAAATGGAAATATTTTAACATTTGTTGGAAAAGTTGTTTAAAAGAAATTTTAAATATTAAATATAGAAAGCAGAGGAAAAGTTTTATATGTATATTTCTTTCTTTGATTGACAACCACTATTGATTTTGGTCGACTGCAATTCCCGCCTGAAGCCCAATAGCCAGCTGTACGTGACTTTATTTTCGATTTAGTGGGCGGCTGGTGGCTTTCACTACGCGCCGTCATGCATCTTAATTGCATTTGCATATTGCACCGACCATAAGTGCATTAAGCCCGGCCAGAACTCCCATCTGATGCTGCCTCATATCCGCACTCACACACATCCGCTGGCTCGTCACGGCCATTGTTTATTGTTTATTTATTGCGCTTTTAATTAACTGCACTCTGTATCTGTGTCAGTTTTTTGCCCATTCGAAGGCCACCCACTTCAATTTTCCCCTGCCTGTGTGTTTGACCTTTTTTATGGATGACTTGAGGTTTGGTTAACAACAAAAGCATATTGACAGAGTGAGTGAAGAAAGTTCCTGTCCAGATGTTAACTAGTCAATTGAAAAATGAATCTTTTCATGGGCAAATTGCATTGAAAAACATTTTTAAAATATGTTTAATCTTAAGTATTTCCAATAACTGTTAAATATATAATTATTTATTGTTAATAAAACCAAAATTAAATATAATTATCAATATATCCCTTTTAAATGTAATTCACAGGCTTAAAACGATCAAAAATTATAGTTTAAAAAAATCAACTACCTTATTAATATTTATTTAAGCCTGAACAAACTGATTTTGCATCAGTGAAAGCCCTGAATAAGCTGGTTGTGACACAGTTCACTTTAAAAGTTTTTTTTTTGAAACGTTTTTATACCCAGTTACTGTTCACATTTGTATCTCCATTTATTTCATATTTTTTACGGGTGAAGGCAATCAAATAAAAACCAGCAGACCAATGTCCAACGGAAATCAAGTAAACTAATTTAACTGCCGGACACATCACACTTTCGAGATTGAATACATGCAAACTGTTCATTTGTACGTGCAATCATTTGAATACATCATATTACAAGTCCACTTCTTCACCTGAAAGCCGTTTGTGCACTCTGAAAACTATACCTCTATCGACTAAGATCCAAAAATGTTATTTATTTCGATTTATTTGTTCATATGAGAGCTATAAAACTTTATTTTTAAGCACATTACAGATCAGGTTATTCCGGTGAGAAATATACAAAAATTATGTAATATTAATGATACTTATCAAAGTGTTTTTTAAAAAATTTTACATTTTTAAATGATTTACATAAGTATTGTATTGAATTGAAAAAAGAACTATATTTAAAAGAGCAAGCATTGATCTATTTTTATTTGGGTATTGCGGCTATAGGGAAAATATGATTTACCCAAATGAAAGTAAAACAACGCTTGATTAGCTTTTTTAAATATCGTAAGTAAATAAAAGAAAATGTGGCAATAGTATTGCGACATTTTCTTTTCATTTACTATGATAAACCTTCAGTTTTTCCTGGTGTAACTATGACCAGTTACAGCTTGTTGAGCTTTTCGACGGAAATGCATTGGCTAACCAAGAGGGAAATGGGGACGAATGGCATGGGATGAATATACTGGGGGCGGGGATAACGCAATCAGCTCATACATATGCAATTTGCATGCATGAGTACTCCCTTCAATGGGGGCGTATGTGTGTGTGTGTGTGTGTGTGTGTGTGTGTATCTGGGCAACTGCCAGGGCTGAAAGATATTTGGCTTAGATGCAGCCAGAATGCAGCTCGCTTGCCAAATTAAGATTTACGACTTGCATGCGAGCAGTCAACTGGAAAGATAGAGAAGAAGTAAAGTCGGAAAAATAGGGAAAAGAGGGAAATCCAAATGCAACTGTCTCCTACACGCGCAGCTGAATATCCCACTTGAATCTACTCATCCCCAGTTTTTTTTTTGTTTGGCCATATCCTCTTGTTTTCTTGGCCCGTGACTCGTTGCAGCCATTTTCGTCCTTCTAATTGTGACAAATTGTGTGGCATATGCAACATGTTCTACGTGCGTGTGTGTGTGTGTGCCAACGCGTGTCACAAGGTCTCTCACTCACACACACTCCCTATCTCTGTCCCCCGAGCTGCCATTTATTGTTATCCACAAAATGCTGACATATTTTTCTATTATACGCCGCTTCATTGATATAATTTATGGAGTCCCTTCTAGGCAACCGTATATACAGAGACTGCGAAGTATAGCTCCCAGAAGCCTTTCGTGTGCGTTTTTAATAGGCGATGAAGGGGGATAAGGTTGCTGCTCAAGCACGTGAGCAACAGCAGGGGCAACAATAACATTTATTAGGCGCCCGGGAGCAGAGATGACTGCCTAAACATGTCCTGATTTCAATTCACATTTTACACGAAAAAAAGAATTTACAAAAAAAAATCTATAACAAGAACATGACTAGTATAAAAACTATTCAAATCCACAAGGGATAAATAAAAAAATCAAACTCAAACTTAAAACAATAAAGTTTATATGAAAAAGGATTTTAATAATATATAACCTTCGTTCAAAACTTAAAAGACTGATAATGGAAACGAAATGGTGTTTTCTCTCTCCTCTCTTTAAAAGACTTTCTGATAAAAAAACACCAATTTAACTTTCATGATTTTTTATGGTGTAGGAGCTTGCCATCATCTCTGGTTAACAGCGAAATTCCCCTGCCACAAAACCAGGCAGATGCTCCATTAACGCTCCCTGGCAGGGAAGGGACTGCCACCCAACGAATTTGTGCACTCGCCTCATTCGTTATCTATAAATAATTATATTAACTTTGCTTTTTGCTCTTGACTAGGCCTAAGCACAAGAGGGCGGATGGAAGGACGGCCTACAAGGACTCATCAGTCAACGCGCTGCAGTTTGGGGCTGGGTTTGGGATTGGGATCGGGATTGGAACTGAGTTCTTGAGACCGCGCCTAGAATTCAACGCGTGGCACAGGGCGCATACGAAATTTTTGCGGCAATCCCTCGAAGAACAGAAAAACAGCGAAGACACACACAAAAAGAGACCAAGGGGAAAGGGCCAAAAAGCATTTGGTAATATTCAACAAGAGCACACTGACCGAATAATATAAGGAAACAAAGCTACTTATGTATTATCATCAAACAAAGGATTTGTTTCAATTTGATTTAAATTTATTGATGGTAGAGTGTTAAACATGAAAAACAATTAAATAATTGTATTGCAAAAAAATAAGTATCATTTAGCAGTTGAAGTGTAATAAACTGAAAAGTACAATAGTCTTTACAATTTATGGAATAAAGCAATGCTTACTATTGATTATAAATGATTTAATGATTAACGGCATTTTAATTTTGAATAAAACAAGAAGTAGAGATCATCGTAAAAAGTACTTTAAAAAAGTACACCGTAAAGTCTAATTTATTAAACAACTTGAATGGAAAAAAGGTTGCAAAATATATTATTTCTAAGCGACTACAGCCCTTCATTTTAAAGTTCCAATACCGTTTGGTTTTTGCAAGGTGTCTTGTAAAATAAATTGCTCTATTCATGAAATACTTTTTTCTTTGTGCACGGACTTGCCACTTACTTTCTCGTTGGAACACAATTTTCAAGTTTGGTTTTTTCTTAGCTTTGACGTGGGGAATTTAATCGAAATTCCAAAGATATTCCAATTGCAATTTTGCCATTAGATAAGACCCCTACCTTGGGCGATGATAACAGTTTCCCTCCCATTAAAAACCGAACTAATTAATGTAAAATTAACTTTCCATCGCTGTTGGTTCAATTAACTTTCCAATTAGCTTAAAGCAAACAAGAAACACGAACCTCATGAATATGTAGAAATATATCTAGGATAAAGCCTTGCCCAGCTGCTGACACATTTGATTTGCTATGAAAATGAACTGGTAAATAAAAGATGAGACGGGATAAGTTTTCGCTTAGCGAAAGTTGGTGAAATTGGGGGCCAGAGAGCGCAAGCAGCGAAGCAACAGTTCCAAAGGTTCCTTTACCTACTTGATATTTCTCTTTTTTATTTTTTTGGGGCAAAGCAACAAGCCCAACAGAAGGGATTAGAGAGCTCTCGACCTAAACGTGGTTAACATTTTTCAGCACAAAACACTTGGCCATATTGCAGAGTCACACAAGCACACAAACACCGCCGCAAAAATATCAGGAGCAATAGCAAGAACAACGACTGTGACACGAAACTCAATTGAAAGTTGGCTCTTGCCGTCCATTAATTGGTGTTCAGCGATTTCAGTTGTTGCCTTTAGCTTCGACCCGAGTGGCATCCGGTCCGCAAAATGTTCTTCACTTGGGAGATGTACGCGTGCTACTGATTTTCCATTTTCACCCAGAGCCAACAAGTTGCAAAAAAAGGGAACTTCATTCGAAAGCGCTTCGTCTTCGGCCTTGCCACTGCCGACACTAAAGGCAACAGCGAGTGTTCTACTGCCCGAAATTAATGAAAAAACACTTGAAAAAATTTTGGAAATTTCATATCAAATTTTAAAGGAAGTATAAATTTGAAGCAGTCAAAATACCATAAACTTTGTTGACAATGTGAAAATTCAAACACAGTTTATAAAAGGGTTATGAGAAAAGATTTTGAAAATCAAAACAACTGTAACTTAATATTATTCTTCCATTTATTCTGTGCTACTTTAATCAACTTTTGACAATTTTATAATTCAATAGTTAAAAGATTAATCACCAATCTTCTTAATTAAAAGCAACTGTGAAAATATACATATATATATATACATATATATACATATATATACATATATATACATATATATATACATATATATATAAATATATTTTAAACTGAAAATTTGTCGATAGATTTTAATCCCCTTTAAAAAGTAGGTTTTCTTGTGCACTGTAGTTGTTATTATTTTAATTAAATGGGTGAGAAACTTAAAAAAAAGTTGTATACAATTTGTAAAACCCTTTTTTTTGCAGTGCTGCTCCAACAACAAAGCACGCACACAGAGGCAAAAACACAGAGAGAAAGTATCAATCGTGTAAAGCTCTTCTGGCATTGAATTCCTTTATTGCGAACTTCGAAAGCTTTTTCGCAACTTGTTGCCTTGTGCGTTGCTAAATCAGCTGTTGCTCTCTCTCTTTCCCTTTCTCTTCTAGATTCCAAGGATTTTGTTATCTACGGAGTGGTAATTACAACCGATTAAGTAGACTATAGTTTTGGAGACAGAACTTGGGAGTAGCAAATATCGTATTCCTGACATTTTCTAGAACATTGAACACTAGGGACAAAGGCAACTCCTGGACCAAAGTGATATGTTCGAAAAAGCTCTGGCCAGCTTTTAATGGTGTACGTGTGTATGCGACTTCACCTTGAAAGCTTAGAGAAGTGAATTTAGAGAGCCAGAGATAAGAAATGTATATATCTTTATATCGGTGTGAGTGTTTGTGTGTGTCAGTGATTCAATTTGTTGAATACTTTTCGGCGTTTTTTCGTCTTAATGACCGACCATAACTGCGGCTCAAGTTACCCATAAGCGACCTTAATTGACGCACACAAGTGCGCCAGCAACTGTTCTTTGCTTTCTGCCATTGCACAGTACACTCTCCCCTCCCCACCCATCATCACCACTCCCCCTTCCCCCTTTACCAGCCCTATTTACCTGTTGTCATCTTTGCCCCTGAAAAAAAGGACACACAAACACGAAGCTATGGCGAACGCAAGTCCAACAACGACGCGGCTGACATTGAGCAAGCTGCAAAGCAAGTTTACCCATGGCAATGGCATCGTGCTGCTTCTTCCTCTCAGTTCTTTCCTCCCAAAAGGTATATTCGAATTTGAAATACCAAATATTCTGGTCATAATAGCACGGTACAGATCAGTTTAGTGTATGGGTAAAAATGACAGCAAGAAGCTATTTATTTTATAAGCAGAACATTAACAATTTACCTAAGGTCCGTTCCTCGTCGTCATTATATAAAAATTCTCTTTAAATTACAAAACTCCTTCCATTTTTGTTTTTATTTTAAAACTGCAATACCGTAAAATGAGAAAACGGTCCTTGGAAGTACCGACAATTTTCTTCGATTCTTACAGTCTTAATTTTTCAGAGATAAAAAAATGTTTGAAATTGTGCATGTTTAAAAAACGTGTTTAGACTTTGATGGCGAAGCCTTTTTAATTTTGAAGCATATTCACACATTTCTGTTATACTCCTATTGTAATTACAAGATGTACAAACACGTTTAATAGCAATTGAAGTTCCTTGCCATTAAATAATGAGTGATTTGAGTATGGAAACGTATTTTGCTTGCATATCAATGAAACTAATTTTCTAATTACGTTCTTTAAAGTATTTGTAATCTGAACATAGATTTATTTAAAAGAACCTATGCATCTTAGTGTTTCAACTAGGAGGGTATTAATATATCCGGTCTGCACATCCACCACTGTAGTTTTGCATTGTGTTTGCAGCAGACAAACAGACCGCATGGAATAGTGCAGGGGCACCCCCGAATGGCGTAGCTATGTGTCTGTCCATAACCTAAATGTGTGCATATATTTATGTTTGTAAGTCGATGTGCCTGTGGATACTTTATGTGGACAGGAAACTTTTGAGGCAGACAACTTCAAGTTAAGCAGGGCGGGAGTGACAAAGGGAAGGACACCGGACTCAGACGTGTGCAGACGACTCATCGTAGGCTTCTCTTGAACGCAGGATATTCACATAGACAGACAAACAGGGGCGTGGCGAAAAGAGGATTGCTTTGAAGAGCGATGAGGCGAATATATGGAAGCGATTACCAAACTTTTAAAGATATTTATAAGTGGCTCCTATTGCTCGCAGCTTGGAAGTTAAAGTTACTTCATTTAAGTTAATTTCCAATATTTGTTTTGTCAGGAAATTTATCAAAAGAAAAATTATAACAAGTTTTCAAGTTTTCAAGTTTAACTTTAAATTTACTTCTTACTTAATTACTTATTTCATAATTAGTAAATATACCTTCAAAATTGACATAGTTCAAAATGCTAGCCGCAGCTTGTAAATAAAAGTTTTCTATTTACAGATCATTATAAATATTTGTTTAGCCAGGAAATTTGTCAAAAGAAAAATTATGAAAAGTTTTCTTTCATGGTTTAACTTTAAATTACCTTCTTACTTAATTTCTTACCTTATCATTATTAAATATACCTTCAAAACTGACCTACTTCAAAATACTAACCGCAGCTTGAAAATAAAAGTTTTCTATTTAAATATCATTATGAGTATTTGTTTAGTCAGGAAATTTATTAAAAGATATATTACAAAAAGTTTTCAATCAAGATTTAACTTAAAATTAACTTCTTAACTAATGCCAATTAAATGTTACAAACCTAATTATTTTCTATTTGGCACTTTGAGCTTTAGAAAAAATTAACATTAGTTCAGAACTGTGAGAGTATCAAGTATAATAAATATACTAAAAATGTTACCCTAATATTTGGTAAATTTCAAATCACGCTTAATTTTAAAAAGCAATCAGAAGATTATTTACAAAGCGTTTAAGAAAGTTAGCTTGATTTACTTTTTATGCTATAATATGATAATTTTTTGATGGTAATTTGTATTTAATATTAGTCCGGTATTAGAAATAATTTTAAGCTTTGGCTCATTGACACCAAACTCGACACATGCCGTGTTTTGCGATCAAATTATTACCAGAGCCCACAGATTTTTAAAGAATTTTATTCAAGGCCTAAACTGATACTTCTACCGTTCCCTTATGTAGCATTTATGTGGTTCTTTGATAAGAAACTTCAATTCGATACACACTTTAGTTTATTATTTGTAGAAGATGTTGAAATATGTCTTTGGATCCAACTGATGAAAATATCAACAGCGGAGATATATAAAATGTACGTTCTTACGCTGTTTTAGGTTTATTAAATTCATCGATTGAGTATACCAAATAAAATGAAACTGCATTCATGCGTAAATAGGCCAATCACAAGCAAAAACAATAAAAAAGTTTATTGGCCATTTCGCATGACGAGCTCATTTCGTAGTTGTTTGTTGTTTTGGTTCAGGTATTAAATTGCTGTTGACTTTAAGGGGAAAAACTGTTAATTTATGAAAAACATTTAATATTAATTTAAATGACACGTCACACTTGTCACTTCACATAAATGCAGTAAAATCTTGATATCTGGCCATAACTTTTTCAGAGTGTAGCGTAAGTATACCTTTTAGAAATTATTCTAAACCCCTTTTCCAGCCCCCATGCACAGTGAAAGTTTTGGCACAGGCCATCGTAAGGGATCTTAGCTTGTTGCACATTGGCCTCTATCTGCTTTTTCCTCTCTTTTTCTCACTTTCTCCGATTTTCCCACTTTCCCGAGGCTTTGGTTTCGTTTGCTCCTCATTTTTTTTTGCCGTATCTGTAATTCTGTTTCAGCAACAAGTTGCTTACATTTCGTAAGCCCGCCAGGCCACCTGTGCCAACGAGTATAACCCATTTGGAGTGGAAGTGGGTGGCAAAGTGGGTTGTATAGTGGGTGGTATAGTGGGGCACTAGGCATTGGCGAAAATTGTCAACGTAGTCGTCGTCTTTGCCCTGCAGATATGCTGGCATATTTATTTATGTGCTCTGCCAGTTCGCTGTTCTCGACTTGATTTCATTTCATCTCTGGCAGCTTTCTTCTTTTCTTTTTTTTGTATTTTGGCTCTTTTAATAACAAAGCCATGGCTGTTGTTTTCTCATCTTCGTTATTTTTGTCGTATTTTTTGACTGAATTTAGGCTTTTCGGTGTACATCGGCAGATGTTTTTCTCCAAGGGTTTCGCATTCATTCCCCATAAATGCTACCTCTCCTTCTGCAAATATCCACTTATCCTGACTTTAATCTTAAAGATTAGCTAGCAAAGAAAGGTGTTTTAGCTTTAGCACCTCGTTTTTAGCGCGCTAGGCTTAGACAGCCCATTTTCCACTTTCATCCAGAAGTTCATTCACTTTTAGGCTATTTTCATTGCGGGTGTGTGAACTTTCGTCTTTGTTTTGATTTTGATGGGGCAAAAGTTTTGTCTAGATGGCTCTTCCATTTAAATTTCAAACGCTTTAATGTTCATTCCCAGTCTTTTTCTTCCCATATAAATATATTTACATCTGCGTGCTGTGTGTGTTTTAAGCTCTTTATATAATTGAAATCCGGACACGTGCCACTCAATGTGTATGTTGGCAATAAATTCAGTTTCACTTGTAATCTATACGCACATAAACAGATCCACATATATTTCTGTTGATTCCACGCCATATGTAAATTCACTTGGCCATCGGATTCCTTTGGGACAGGCCGAGAGACAGGACAATGTCCTCACAGTGTGTAGGCGCCTCCTGGCATATGCTCCAATCATAATTACATCGTCTTGAGCAGATAGTCCTCTGCGTATGTTTATCTTATTCTTCGTTCTTGGCTGTCATCGTCACTGAGAAAACGGCTTTTATATTCCTAAACATACTTATTAGATATTTAACAAATTAAATGATATCTCGCTTTATAAAATATTTTCTTTGCAAATTTTTTTGTTGTTTCAAATTATTTTTCAAAGGGGAATTTAAAAAACTTTTTATTTGAGATCCTATTTAACCATCAAGTAGAATGTGAAGGTCTTCGATATTTCATACAAGCACATTCAAAACATAATATTATTGTATGTAAAACTCCTATTCTGTCAAGTTAAATTATAGACTAAGCTCCTTTTTTGTTTTTATTTGAAATACTTAAAACATTAATGCAGAATTAATAACCCGTTGCTCAGAAAAATGGCTTAAAATTTGGTTTTTAAAGAGAAATTCAAAAATTATAATATAATTGAATTTTCAGCCTAATTTACAAAGTATTTCCGCTCTGTGTATTCTCCGTTAATGCCTAGAATGTCGTCAGTTGCATAACGAAGCGACAAAACTAATTTTAAACAGGCGCCACTCGACGACTGTGGGGCGCCACAGAAATTGCTCCATCGTGCCGCTCTAGAACCCCGGATCCCAGGTCGTATTCTCGGCCAAGTCAACGTGCTGATGATGAGCCCAGTACCGTTACCAGCAAGTTCATTAAATACAATGCACAATGTGACCAAGGACGATGACGTCCTGGCTCCAGATTTCCTTCTAGGGCAACCGATTACGGGGAGGTGAAAAACTGCCCTGATAGGAAACTGGTGGGCGAAGGAAGCTGCGGGATGCTTAGCAAATTAAAATCTATTATGAAGGTTTAATTATTCGAACCTGACGTTTATAGGAGTTATTGAAAGCAAACCCACACGTTTCACAAACAATTGAAAAACTTTAGTAAAATTCGAGAAAGAAAGCTGTAGCATTGTTTTCCATGAGAAGTATTTTTTTGTTTATTCCATTTCTCAAGGGCACATGAATTGTCCTTAAAAACAGTTGTGGTCAAACGAATTAATTTTCTTGGGCCATACAGACTTCATTAGTCTAAAAGAACCAGTGTTTTCGCCGTTTACTTGAAGAAATCCAAAAAACTGCTAAGAAAACCCCCAAAAATTAATTGCTTTAAGTGCGGACAACTTTATGGTTTCACACATCCTGCGACCTAAAAAGCACTCCAAGGAGCAACAATGTTTGGAGGCCGCTTTAATGGGTCAATTAGCTGGTTACACATATCGCGCATAGGGGCGAAATCCCCGATTGCGTGACCCAGGAACATCGACAATTTCCACTAGGATTTTAAGGGTAAATTTGACATAAATATGTGCTTAATCTAGGTCAAAGCAGGGATACCGGAAGTAGTTTCGCTGGAACTAATTATTAAAAACAAGTAAATAAAAAACTGAAGTTTTGTGGAAAAGTGAAAACTCATTTTGACCATGTTTACCTTTGCTTGACCAGCACAAAAACCCCCAGACTACGTACAAACACGTAAGCATATACAGTTAATTTATTTATTTTGTGTGCACGCTTTTATTTGCATAAGCTTAAAGGATTTGGAATTGCGAGCTTAGATTTACCTCAGTCTGCAGTTGTTTTATTGCTCAGCGCATGATAGCCCATTGGCCCCCAAATACTTAAAGTTTAACCCTGAAATCGAGCAGAAAGGAGTCCCCCAAAAAGCTCCCAAAGCTTTGAAGCTCTTAAAGAAAATAGAGGAAACACAAAAATGTATGTCCTGAAAGCTTAGTAGAGAAAGTGCTAAAAGTTACACCGGGGAAGTCTAAAAAGCTTTTTAGGATTTTCCCTGGTTTGGAATTTGGAAATTCTCAACTCAGAATTCCCTCACGGTTAAAATTGGAAAATATTTAAATTAAACACTTGAGACCACAACCGTTGCACCACAGGGAATTTAAGGACCTTCTATGCCTTGGCGACAGACTGTCTAGGCAAGAATCCAGAACTGAACACCTGACAAATTCCTTTTGCTTTCAGGTAAACGGGCAATTTTCAACGGAATTTCATTTGTTCTAGCCAGAAGCGTTGGCCTAATGATCTTTTAACAGGCCCGAAGTGCCTGGGGGAATTTCCCAGCCTTGACACAGGCAGTGCAGCCCATTCATTCATGAGAGCGATTCAAAAAGAAAGATTCCACTTTAAACTGAAGAGGTTCTGCACTTGAGGCTGTATTCATTCATGAAGTGTCTGCGAGGCGGGAGATCGACACAGCTAGGAATTTTAGAATCAGCGGGGCATTCGAAAGTTGGCAGAACATCTGGCTAAGGAATTTTTAAATGTGGAAACTACAGAGAAGAGGAGTATGCAAATTTGTTTACGGAAACAATTTTAGAATACCTTTAAAATAAGGCATAGTTTGTGACAGAGGTTAAAACACAGCTTGTGAGTAACTTCAACAGAACTAAACAACAATTTTAATATATAAACAACAAGCCATAGCAATATATAAAATATTTTAATGTGCTACTCCAGTTAATAAGCTAAATTTGTTATCCCTAATAAACCATATCAATATCTAATATATATATTTAAATCTTGCTCAAATGGTGAGCAACACAGTTATCACAATTAATTTTTTTATGAGCTATAACAGTTGAAATTCTTAGATGTTAGTATAGGTATGAAAAATATAATTTTAGAAGGACAAAACACCTTTAAAAAGAAACCATTTTAAGTATGTCCAACTCTTTTAAATTTGTCTTAAAATATAATCTATAACTGTAACTTCCTTTGATATTGAAGATATGTATTAATTTACCTTTCACATAAAATTACTACCAATAAATTTAGATCCCATGCAATTTTCCCAAATGTAGTCCTAAAATTCACTTGACTAATTTTAAATGTTATCTGTGATTTTCTAAAAATCAATTTAAATCCCTTTGATAAGAATCGCCGTCTACGCAACACATTTTGGCACAACAATTTTCGCTACGCTCCTTGAATGAATTGGCGAAAAATAGAAGATATTGAAGATACTGAAAGGAGTCAAGGAGTCCTACCTGCTGATGCAGCACTTGAATTTCAAGAGCCGAGCTCTTCAGCTCAAGTGGAAGAGGCGCACACTTGAGCAAAGACACACCGAGAACTCGAGTAGATCACTATCGAGGACTTCGATCAGGTAAAAAGAAGTCGAAATTTAAGGGAATAGCGAAGAGAATGGAATACCGAAATTCCGTTTAAAACCGCCGACTGGGCTATTTTGCCCATTGGCATTCCGATTTCCATTTTCGGACCGAAGGCCCAGAGGGGCGTAGGTGCAATTGCGTTTATTAGCACCGCACCCCTTGGGATCGGACAAAAGGACGAGTTAGTCCTCGTTTCGGTTCCAAGTTAGAGGACCCATTGAGGAATTGTCCGCCGTTCAATGAATGCTGAATGAGTCGGCTCGGGCAGGTTTTGTTGCGCTTGATTCGTTTTGGGTTTGTCACTCATCTCGATTTTGGACAAATCGCTGCCATATCTATGATGATAAGCATCTCCCTAGTTGGCATCATCAATTTGTGCAATCTGTGCAATTTGAAGTGTCGTGGGAAATGCTCCTCCTCTGCAAATTGTGTCCTTGATTAATTAAAATTTTCAATGATTCGACAAAAATAATTCGGTGTCACCATTTGCGGTTGAATCTAGGTGGCAGACCACACATTTCGCCTAGGGACTTTTTCTTTGGCTATGCGGAACAAATTTACAAACGGATCTTTAAAATATCAATTCAAAAATAAGTTCAAACAGTCATGAGCATAAAATGTCTTGCTGCATGCAACCAAAAATATTTAATCAAAATAACAAGAAAAGGAATCAAAGTTTACAAGCCGAAGTTTATTTACCCTTGCAGCTATTCGAAAAACTAAGTATTCGATTGGTTTGGGGATCCAGGAAGGATGTGCTAAGGCAATTGCTTAGGGAATATTTTTTAAAAACTATTTAGTCTTAAAGTTAAGTTAGCTGATAGCCAGATAAGGACTTATCCATAAAATTAAAATTAAAAAAAATATATATTCTTCATAACAACTACATTCCGATTTTTATGCTCATATGATTAGCAATAGTGAAGCTATGATGGTTTTATATTAAAACTGTAATTCTAAAATAAAAAAACCCTAACGATGCATCGAAATATGTTGAAATCAATTAAAATACAGCGAAGTTATAATTTTTTTTTCATTTATTTTTCCGATTGTTTCCATGGTAGCCATATGAAAAAAAAAACTGTTATTCTAAATAATTAAACTATTACTATATCTTTAGTATAGTTTGCGTGACCTGAATAGATCTACTCTACTTATGATGCTGATCAAGTATATATAAACATTATAGGGTTGGAAATGTATCATTCACTGCGTTTCAAACTTCTGACTGCAGGGGAATAAAATTATCGCCTCAATGAGATAGTAGACTCCTAAAACATTTTTTTTTAATTCTGACAATTTTCTATATAATCCCCAATAATTTCCGTAACAAATAAGATTCAAATCCAAATTAAACCAAAAACTAATTCATGTTGCCCTGGAAATAATTTTCCAAAAATCGTGGCAACTCTTTTTCAACAGAAAACAAGGAACTCCATAAAGACCTATCTCTTTCAAGACTAACAACGTTCCTATGGAATTCATATCCCATTCCTAACAACCATCATATAGAACAGCCTCTCACTAAGCCCTCTAACAATCATCCTATGACAGATTTGCAAACGAGATTTGCGCAGAAAACATTTCCTATCCGACAATTTGTCAAGCCTGTCGGCTTATCGGCCCTCTGAGCAACTTAATTTTTGCACATTTTATGCCAAAAAAAAACGAAAGACCGCTGAGATGTGTGAAAAATTAAATCTGACAAATTTCCGGATCGGTATTTACTGATTTCTAGATGAATGTGTAAATTCTAGACATTATTTTATGGTTGAAGGGATTAGAAAGAGATAAGAATGAAAAATATCAAACAATTTTCTCCAGCTCCTGTGCGTAGGTGAGATTATGGGTGGCAATGTCCTTGGCAGGCACCTTCTCCAGTGGTCTGGTATGAAGTGCGGCGAAGTCGTAGTTCCCCTCCTCGTCCAGATCCCAACGACGTCTAGTGGCCAGATCCAATAGCTCCTTGGAGCCGGGACGAAGTCCCAAGCGCTGAGCAGCCTGTTTGGGTGCCATCTTGAGGTATGACTTCTCCATACAGGATGCAATCTCCTCGCGAGCCGTGTTCACCAGCATGTCCATGAAATTCGAATAGATCTCCGATGGCATGGACTTTTTGGCCTGCAATATCTTGTTGTACCTGCCCTCCATGTAGTAGTTCTCCAAAGCCAAAACGGGGTTGATAAAGTTGTCGTGGAGCAGCAAAGCCGACGGCAAACGCTCCAGCTCGATGTGAAAGTCAGCAATGCGATTGGTGGCCAGCATATAGAGCAGATTCAGGCCCATAAACTTGTGCATATGCTTGGATGATTCCAGATACTTGTCGTAGTCGTAATAGTAGGTATTCAGTTGAGCCATGTATCTCTCAAATGCACCATAATCCCTAATGGTGATGCTGTGCTCCACGGCAATCTCAAGCATCTCTCGGGATTTGATCAGTTGGTCCTTTTGCTTCGAACTGGATGCCACTTGGATTGTGCCAAAGTTGGACCTAACCAGCTCCAGTTTGAAACCGTCCAGGAGATGGGAGCAGTGGGCCAGATTTGGGGCATGCTTGCTCCACTCGTTCTTTAGTTCAGTGTACAAGTTCGACATGATCTCATCAAAGGCTCAGCGACGACTAAATTTTCAGCCCGAAAAAATTTAGCAAGTTGTAAATTGTCAGAACAATTTTTGAAGAAAATATCAAGGCTTGCTTTGCTAAAGGCAAAAATCTTAGTGTTGATAGAATTCTAAGGTTGCTATGTGATTCTGTATTTAGTTCGTATTTTGGGATTTTTGGTTTAACGGCCTAGGTTTTATAGCTTTCACATTTAAATTGCAGTATTAAGAGTCCTAAAACAATTTTTATATGAAATTCTAGTGGGGAAATCGTTTTTACTACTCAAAATTTGTACCTTAAATTTAAAAATATTTTTTAATTTAGCGAATTCAATAAATTTCAAATAAATCCAAAATATTGATATTTTTATATTATATGAAATACCATCGTATTGTATTCTTTCAATTAAAGTTTGATACAATGCCAATGCAATATTTGTTTTTTTTCTATATAAAGAAATAAGATTTTAATTTTGCTGTCCTTTTGATTTACCCACTTCGCTGAGAAATTTAGTATTGTAAGCAACAGTATTTTTCATTTTGATTTGATTTTATTTACTTTAACATACTTAGGGCTAAAAACAGACTAAAATCTACTGTACAATCGGTGAATTCTTTACGAAGATTTTTCTACGCTTCCACTTTCAGTTCGTGAACGTTGATTTTGGGAGAAACTGGAGAGGCCTGAGGACTGCCGTTAGAGTTGGTGGACAGATTGAATGTGGGACTCTCGGAACCGCCCTTCTTCTGCTTGACTCGACGGTTCTGGAACCAGATCTTGACCTGCTTCTCGGAGAGGCGCAGGCGGTTGGCGATCTCGATGCGACGAAGTCGCGATAGGTAGGCGTTGTGCGAGAATTCCCGCTCGAGTTCCAGCAACTGAGTGCTGGTGAAGGCGGTGCGAATCCTTTTGCTGGAGTCGGCATAGTCGCTGATCAGAGGTGTGATTTCCGTGGGCACTACCGCGGACTGAACCTTGAGCGGTGAGCTGCTGGGCGAGCAGGAGGACTCGTGCTTGAACCGCTTGTTTTGAGGCTCATCAAAGTGGCTGGTGTAATCCAGGGAGGCCGACGAGGAGGCCGAAGGTGAAGTGCAGAAGCTGCCGGGTTCAGGTAGAGGTAGACCACCACCCACACCCACTGGAGATCCGTAGAGATTGTGCAGCGGCAACTGCTGGGCGTTGCTGTTAGGATTGGCCGACAGCGGGGGCGAAGGATAGCAGCCTTCGTAGCTGCTGAAGCCGCTGGATTTCCTTTTGGTGGCGAACAACTGGGCGTATGGGTGATACAGGGAACCGGGACTCGAGCTGACATGCGGATGTTGCTGCAAGGCAGCTGCTGCTGCTGCTGCTGCTGCGGCTGCTGCTGCAGCTGCATGTTGCTGCTGCTGCTGTTGCTGTTGCTGCTGCTGCTGCTGGATGCCCAGGGAGAAGAGATAGCTGCCCACATAGCTGGCCGGATAGGGCAGCATGGGTATTGATGGCAACATTGCTGCTGCGGCCACTGCAGCGGCTGCCGAGGAACTGGCTCCTGGTGATCCCAGCTTCTCCTTCGTCTGGCTCAAATTGGGCCTATCGCTGAGCAGGGAATCCATCAAGAAAGAGCGTGACATTTTCGTAAATTTCGTTTTCCAACTGACTTCGGAATGGGCTACTGAACACGATCGCTGGCTGTTCGAGACTGTCTGGCTGCTGGGCCCGCACCCGGCTCTTATATACCTCGAGACCCTGTTCTGGGGGTTGGTTTTCCATTTAGCCACCCCTGAGGACCAATTCGAGGGTTGTTTGGCCCGAGTCTGTTCGGCCATTTAGTCACCATTTAGCGGCAACTGTTGCCATTTACGCTCCGCCCTTGTTCGATCACTCACAATGGCTCACAAATGGCAGGTAAGCGATGCGTCACTGTATCTGTGTGAGGGAACAATGGCGAATCCCCTGGCACGCTGCATGTGTGAGTGGGCTTGGATGTGAGCGTGGTAGTGTCCTTGCGGAACGAATCTTCCTTTTCCATTTCGTATTATCACTCGAGTTTAATTGAAAGTTGAAGAGAGTGCGTAAAAGCTTTTTAAACGAAACCAAATTAGTTCAGCATAAGAAATATCTAATTACTCAAGTCAGATTGGAATTAAACCAATTTTAAATGTGAAGAATTTACATAACGGGGAGAAGAAACTTGCTGATAAAAGCAATAAAAAGTATTTTAAATATCAATATAATAAATATGAAAGCGCTTACATTAAGGATAATAAATACATTCAATTTACATTATTCTGTTGAAAGTTTTGAAACATTTTTTTAATGCTAGAGGATTTACTTTTAATTTAATTATTATTAGCTTTAGTTTTTACAGAAGTTTTAAATGTACTTCGCCCACAAAAATATGAAATGCTTTCTTCTAAGCATTTTTTTTTACAACATATTTTCCAATAATGGGTTTCTTAATTTTTAATAACGTTGACTGTTCTTTATATTTATTAAATACCGACAGGGAACCTTTTTTTACATTTTGCAATTAAAGCTGTTGACTGCCATCTGTTCATATTTATTTGATTATAAATTGACAATGAGAGTTATAAAAATTAACCTATAAGTTTAAATAAACACGTCATATCTTTTAGTTTATAATAATTATTTGAGATTTTAATTATTATTAAAAATTTCCCTTCGACAGGGAACCTTTTTTACATTTTACAATTAAAGTTGTTGACTGCCATCTGTTCATATTTATTTAATTATAAATTGATAATTAAAAGATATGAAGTGTTTATTTAAACTTATAGGTTAAAAAGCTAAAAGTTATTTGAGATTTTAATTTTTAGATCGTCGCAATAATGCATTTGCGAGATCATCTCAAGAATCCATATTATACCACCACAATTATATTCTTTTGATCATGGAATGCATTTTAACATTCTTTAATTGCAATTTGCTAATATTTATTTTTAAATTCTTTTACAATTCATAACATTAAGGTTAAGATAATTATTGAAGACTTTTCTATTAAGATTATCAATATGATTTTTATTCGTGAAAATCATTTGAGAGATCATCTTAAAAGACGTTTTGCACCAATTCTTGCTTGTAATTTATGGCTTACAAAGAGAACCTCTTCAGTGACCCTCCACAATCGAATCGATTAATTTTACAACCATTGAAAAATGCAAGCCCTCCAACCGTTTAATGCCAATTTCATGGCAACTTATGGCCCAAGTGGTCGCTGCCGAAATCCCGCTTCTTACCTCTACTTCTACTTCTACTTCTCCAACTGCCGATTCCTTGTCCCTCCGGCACATTCATAATATCTCTCCTTTTAGTCCCTGTCTTGGCGTAATTTTATTGATGCTTTCTTCGGGTTGTGCAACTACGAGGAACAATGCGGCAAGGATCATCCATTCAGGACGACCCGACCCATTCATGGATGCAGTCCTTTGACAAATCCCAGACACGACGCACGTTGCGCCTTTGTTTGTGTGTGTGTGTTTTGGGCCAGGTCAGGCCATCTGAGCCAGACAGTCCGTCGCCGAGTGTTGTTTTTGGGCTACATTACACAGAATTATGGCGGCAGTTTTATCATTTGTTAACTGACTTTAAGGATTTACCTATAATTGTCCTTTTCATGGCTTTGTGCCGAGGTGCGGCTTTGTCAATGTCCTGCCAGTTGATCGTATGTTAAGTGGCTATAAAACGGATCACAATTGCTGACGTTAATTGTTGATTGTCCACAGACTTCTTCGTAGGCGATCCGAATGTTCGCCTCCTACTTTTTAAGGTTTTGGCTTCTGCTTAATTGGCGGGCCGTGCAAAAAAAAAAAAAAACTAGGAAAAAGGAGCAGGACCCTGGTCAATAAATCGCAATCGAGAGCAGCTGCTGTTGTGTTAATATTTTTGCTAGAATTTCTTCTCTTTGGGCGTTGCGTTGGTCTCGTGCGAGAGGTCCTTTTGACCGCCTTTTACCAATTGTTTGGGCCACTTGAGATTTTCTCCATTGACCACTTCCGTTTTTTGTCTGCGATTATTTTACGCTCGATTGAGTCGGCTTCCTCTTCACAATTGGATCGTGCTATTGACTTAGACTTTGTCTTTGGCTTATAGAGCAAAACAAATGTTACTCATCTCGAAATATGGAAATTTTTTTTGTACAGAATTAGGTATCTCCAAGATAGCATCGGTTTCATTCAAGCGAACAATTTCAATTTAATTGTGAACAAAACTCGCCTAAACGCTGAACAAATGAAAGCATATCGAAATGTTTACTTCCCCTTGTTTTTTGATATGGATACAACGCAAAACTAACTGAGCCGGGGAAAACTTCAAACCGGATTTGTCCATTAAAGGGGTGTTTCGAAAAGAATACGAACAGTGAACCACCACCAAAGAGGGTATTTGAAACCCTTATGACTGGGCATTGGGTTAATCATTTATTGACATTAATTGGTTGTGACATTTGCATTTTGACTGATTGTTGTAGTTGCCATTGTTGCTACTTAGCCAAGGGTTTGTTTATCCACTCTCTCGTTTTGTATGTTTGTTGATTTAACAAATATGACTTCATTATTTCCCAAGCACTTTCATATAGGCAAATGCATGTGCTCGTCCAAATTATTATTTACCCCTGCATAATTTACGAATAAGCTTTGAGGTTGAGTCTGGCTTCTCTGCGTGTTACTGAGTCAATAGGCCTCGGGGATTGCTTTGGGATACCTGATATAGGATGGGTTTTTGAGCTGTTTAATGGCGGAGAATTCGATATTTCAATGGTTATTATTTCCGTACTGTGAGAAATTAAATTCTATATTATGTTCATGTAAACTTGTTTTTGAAACAGAACTACAACAAACTTTTTATATTTAAAAATCAATAATATTATTATTGAAAACTTAAATTTGCAGTAAACTTTGAAATGTTTAAGGTCGCTTAATAATAATATAACACCGTAACTCATGACACCCGGAAAGAACGAATTTTCTGGTTAAAAAACTTTCAAACTCATTTCATAAACTATTAAAGGTTAAAGCTCAAATCCGACTTCTATTTGAAAGTGTTCTAAAATTAAAAAGGAATTCATTTTAACTTCAAATATTAATTCACAAAACAATGAACATCTAAAACTAAGTGATTCAGATTGATGTTTAATTCTTATAAATAAACAACAAAAATATATGTGACAACTGAAAATCAGAAAAAAAGTTGGTTTTTCTTATTCGTTCTTCAACTACAATAAACAAAAATATCAAAGTATCGCACCGCCAAATGTAAAAAATACAAACCAAAACAAAGGGAACTTTTTCATTCTATTTTTCGAGTATTATTTTCATGAATGAAAAGTCAATGGCTGGACAAAGGACACTAGACAAAGGACCCACACACGATACGCACTTGCAGTGATCTGCAGTTTAGTTTCGACCTTTGTCCCAGAAGAGCGATCCTCGCAAGGTAAAAATGCAGGTAAGGCGAAATACATTTCAGTTCACTCTAAAAAAGAAGGACAAGGACCGCCATTTAGATGGAGGTTTATAGGTTTCTTTTTTAGCCGTGGTCAAGGCTGCCGGACAATGCTATTAATCAGGACTCCGTCGAGAGTCCTTTTTTTTGTGGTCAATGTTGTGGCTAGTTTGAAGGGCCTGTTTTGGGTGTGGAGTGTAAACCGTTAAGTGGAGAATGGTGACAGAGCCACCCCAATAAACCAAAAAAACAAGAAATCACTTAAACACTTAACGTCTAATCAAATTATATAATAAATAGCAAACAAAACGAAACCAGAAACGCTTAGCACCCTTAAGTCCACCACTTACCCCGCTGTCGACGACCGAAGCCAGTTAGTTAATAAAAACAGCATTTGCAATCATAAAACGCTTCACTGATCCTCCCCTTCCGCCAGCACGCGTTGGAATAGGTCGCCATCCATGGAAACAAGCTAAGACTTCGAATCGGAACAACCCTCCAGATCCGGCGGATGGTCGGGGTATATCAAATGCATAATGAAACGGATTTTGATACGGCCTCAGAGACATCGCTTCGTTATTCATTCGATTGCAGCCGCTCGCACAAACACCAGATACATTTGTATCTTTGTGGTTGTCGGCGATCCTTTTGATTTCACACGGGTTCAAGATGGCTACGTTGTGATGAATAGATATCACAAGCTAGCTACCCATTCAAGATGACCACCATAATTACTAATATAGTATTTAACAAGATTTATTTATTAAAAAAAATTAATTGCATCTTTAGAAAATAAAATTTCTTGACCATTAAAAAAAAAAAGGACCTGAATCTTATATGTACTAAAGATACATTTTTGTAGATATCGACAAATCAATGGATTTAAGATAATAATTCTTTTCAGATAGAAATATGATAAATGACGAATTAGGGATTAGAAATTTTATAATTTTATAGTATGTATATTTTCTTAATTTAATCATTTTTTTCACTTATCATGAAAACCCAAAACCTTTTAAAATTGTAAAACCATTTAATTAACCAATGCATTAGCAAACTGATATTTTTAATCAGTCAACTAGTTTATAGAAGTATTTACATAAATGTAAAATAAGGGTAGAGCACGGTAGTTCTAAAAATGACCGTAGTATAGTGGCGCCTATGTAATGTAAATGTAGAATACGTTCTACTTCCGTATTTCTGTCTTCTTGAATTGTTTAGATGTTACATTCAAAATTGATTTATATATAATCCGAAAAGAACATTGGGATTTGTTTTTGCAACATAGTAAGTAAAATGTGTTCAAAATACATTTGACCTATGTTATTTTCTTCGCTTGGTCCCCCCACGTCAGCCTTTGCTTAGGCCTGGTAGTGTCAGCTTTGAATTTGCATCCCCACGGGGTGTCCTTCGCCGTCCTAGCCGCAGTCACATCAACGTCAACGTACTGCGTCACCCACCAGCCACCTACCTTCATCTGCAGCTTTCGCATTATGCGGGTCTCCTCCCAGCGGTCTAGTTCGTCCCATTCCTTGCCGCGCTTACGCAGAAGGTAGTAGCGGTACATGACGATTGTCACGGCCAGGATCAGGGCCAGACCAGTACCGGCGGCGGCTCCCAGGACCGCAGAACTAACCATAACCATGTTGGCGGTGGCCTGATTTCACTGAAAATAAATATTTACAAATATTAATCGAAGTGAGAAGGAAACTTAAGCTCATAAATAAATTTGCTGAAATTCTAATACAAATTTTTTTGAAAAAATTTAAAAAATGGTTTTTTTATAAATATAAAAATCTTGTTTTTATTTTGTCAAGATTTTCACAAATATTTTTAAGCATTAAATTTTAAGCTATTTCCAAATATGTTAACGTTTTAAAAAAAATGCTTAAAGATCAGAGAAGTGATTGTGCCTTAATTGTTTCGTAGACAATTGTTCACCCTCAGAAATAATATGCTTAAGTTCAACTGGAAAATCAGTTTGAAAAGTGTATAATAATTTCTTTATTATAATTAAAACGTAAGACAAACTTTTTTATGTAAACAAGCAATTAGTTTAATTTTTTGTTATATAGAAATTTATTAAAATAAATTTTATAAAAATAGTTTATTAATTCTAAATTGCGAATCGAAAAGTTTTCCGCTTGTGATGTTTGGTTTCACTATGTCTGCAGCTATTCTCTTCCGCACTCTCTGCTCTTTCACATGAGGCAATGATCTCGTCACTCTGTTTACTTTCAACGCTCTCGTTCTCCAGATCAAAACGATCTTCTCGGTTTCGGGATTTTCCAGATGATTCGGCACTAGTGATTAACGCAAGCATTAAAACAAGCGACAAAAAAAATCTCATTGTTAGACGCATATCTAAAAGTTTATAAAACTACTCAAATGCGTGGTTCGAAGCAAACTGCTTAGAGGTATAAGTACAGAATAACAAACTCGTACAGAGGTAGCCCGTTTCTAACTTTTGTCTAGAGTGACAGCTGTGTAAACCTAACTGCCGCCGGAATTTCCCCATCTAGCAAAATAAGCTACAATTGTGCTTGAGAACACGTCATTATCATTTATTTTGGGATTCAATGCGTACACTAAAAATCCAAATTCATGTGATGAACATAGCCATTTCGGAGGATGGCAAAACGTGGATAAGCCTTGAAGTCGGGCTCATGTTTGGGATATCGGAGAAAATTCAAATTTTGTGATTCAGTGGGTCTGTCCACAGTGGCTTCATCTTCCTCTTCATCGTCCTCCACCATAAAGAACTCTCCATCTTCTCCAGTCTCAACATTTGCCTTTTTTGTTTCCTCTCCAGTTGGATCTATAGTTTCATCTGCTTCTGGATCTTTGCTTAAATATGTCTCCTTAGTAGTGGGATCTGATGAATAATATGTTTCATTGGCTAATTTTTCCAGTAACTGTAGTTCTTCAATCATTTTAGCTATTTCAGTTTTATTGAGCGGTTTAACTTCTTCCCGATCAGCTGATTCGTTAATTGGCTTTGTGGAGATTAGGGCTATACTCCAACATGCGATCAAACTTAGAACACACAAGTCACGCATTTCCTCAACGTTTCGAACAACACTGTTCAGCGCGATATTAGAAACAACTGTTTTAAACACAATTATGTTTTGAAAGTGAAATTTATTTATTTAGAGAAGATTGAGAAATATGGAAAACAGGTTTATATAGAAGCTTTTTAGGGCTTAGACCTTGACGAGGCCGTGATGACGCCTGATCACAACTGGTCCATGACCTCCGAACCTGGGCCAGAAGGGACGAACGTGCTTCTTCACTGGCTTGGCAGTGGTCGTAGCTTCGTCATCTTCGTTATCATCATTATTACTGGATTCTCCAGTGGAATCTACAGCGGATTCTCCAGTGGAATCTACAGCGGTTTCTCCAGTGGAATCTACAGCGGATTCTCCATCGGATTCTCCAGCGGAATCTTCGTCAGCGGATGACTCGCTTTCATCTTCATTGGTTCCACTGTTCTCCACATCATTGCTGCTTGAATCCCCATCGGTATTCTCCGACACAGAGGACGAGGATTCGTCATCCTCAGCAGGACGGGCAGCCACAAAGCCAACAGCCAGGAAGGCCAAAAGGGCAACGACAATCAGGGAACGCATTTTGATCTTGAGTCTAAGAGGTTATTACGAAAACTGCTTTCCAATCTCAAAGAGCCTCCAGCTTTTTATAGGAAAAGTCTGGCAAATTTTGGCCGATTCATAGATATTACCAGAAATTTTTATTTACGCTCTTGGTATTTGAACAATTGCTCAGTGGAAAGTTTTACAAGCCGAGTAATTCTGGTGACTTTTTTATTAGACAATAAAAAAGGTTTTTGGAAAGTTTTGGAACGGGCTTATGTCACAGCCTTGGTAGGGGCTGTGCTTAAAACAACAGGGCGGAAGCCAAACCGATTAGGCCACGGCCAACAGGGAAATGGACGAATAACCGGTTGATCAATAGAGCTTCCTTGATCACTTCCACTGTCTGTAGATGGAAATGCCCTCACAGCGGAAATGGCAAGAAAAGCCAACAGGGCGAAAACTACTACGAAGCGCATCTTTAACCTCTGGAAATTCTTTGGTCACTACGTTTATCAGCTATAAAGTTATCTTCTTATACACAAAAAAAAAATGAAACAATGTTTATATTTGTTTAGACAAGTTTTACCTGCCAAGCTGCGCAATCTTTAATTTGCGATATTGGCAAATAAGTATTGCAGTTTTCATTTATAAGCATATGTTTACATCGTCACCTGACTTCACTAATGGGCTATTACTCAAGAGCGATATAAGCTACATTTAACTTAAATATTATGCATAACTTAAAAGTTTAATCAGTTTTTAAAAATACTAGCTCAGGGTAGAAAGTATTATGATCACTGGGAGGATAATTTTAATTCTAAGTTTTCGATTATTACCAAACATTACAATCCAGAACTACGTGCCTAAGCAAACAAATATATGTTTCCTGGAAAGAAACAGAGTCAGTTTGCTTTAATTAATTGTACTATTAATTTCCAATTATGCCTCAATTAATGTATAAGGGGTGAAAGGAAAATGCAGCAGGTAGCAATGGTAGTACAATAGGTATCTATGAAAAACAAATAGACTCCAATTTGAAATTTGAATTGAATTTCAGAGACTCCAACTAAAACTTAATGGCTTAAGTTGTGATAAAAAATGTTCATTTCTTGTACTATTTATATGAGGAACCAGAGAAATTGGTTCCTTAAAGTCAAAAATTTACTAATGTCTGTTTTTTCAGAGACAAACAATATAAATTTAAAAACACAAGACAAACACAATAAAATAACTAAAAATGAGAAAAAAGCAACAAAAAAAACAGCTCTACTTAAACTGGTTATTAAAAATAACGTATACTTTAAGGCGTTTTTATTATACATTATCAAAAACAATCAGTATTAAAATATTATTTTGAATTTTGTAATATGTACATATATCACAAGATTAGTTGATATAGCCATGTCCTTCTGACTGACTCAGTTTGTTTTTTATTGAAAAAAGCGCGGATCGGGCGACATTTTTCTGGCAGTAAGGCCAAGGACCTAAAATAAAATTTGTTTTTTGGCTTTTTTCGAAAACTCATCTCTTGAGTTCATTATTTCCTATAGCCCTATGTAAATATGTGCTGTGCACCCTTTCATCAATTTTCGGTATGACTGTAAGGGTATTACAATTTCGGCTACTCTTGTTGTTTCTTGTATTTTTGTTACTTTCTGAATCTTTGGGCTATCATTAAAGTTCATAGAGTTTACATTTTAAAATTTTGTATTTATAATATTTGCATTTTTATAAAACTTATTTCATAAGGCTTAGTCAAGGAAAAGGGGTTTGGCATAGATATGAACTGGTCCCTTAACTCCGAATCGAGGAATAAATGGACGAGTCTGCTTTTTGGGTGGCTTATTCTCCTCCTGACCGCCTTCCGATCCATTGTTATCTTCCGACTGATTGTCATCATCGGATTGATTGTTATCTTCCGACTGATTGTTATCTTCCTCCTGTTCATTATCTTCCTCCTGATCATCATCTTCCGACTCGATGTTATCTTCATTGATCTCCTCATTATCCTCACCATTGGGCTCTTGCTCTTGCTCTTGCTCTTGGTCTTCCTCATTTGCAGAATCCTGACTTTGTTCAACATTTGTTTCTTCGGCGGCGTTGTTGGACGAATCCTCATCGGTGCTTTCCTGGACGGAGTTCTCCTCGTCCTCAGCTGGACGGGCAGCCACAAGACCAACAGCCAGGAAGGCCAGAAGAGCAACGACAATTAGAGAACGCATTTTTAATGTTTAGGCTTTAAGATGTTCAAAACAACTCTTCAGTTTCACGCAATCAGTCGCTATTTATACGGAAAGTCTGTAGAATTTTGGCAGAATCATTTGTTATTCGATTCGTCATTTACGTATTTATATTTGAACAATTGCTTATGATATTATTATTTTATGACGCATTTTATTCTAAGAATCAGCTTGATGATGATACATATGTTTTGCAATAACCAATGCTTTGTTGCCCATTAACAAATAAATAAAACTTCGAAAAGTTATGCTTATATTATTTTATGACGCATTTTATTCCTTTGATAGTATTCCAAAAATCAGCTTGATGATGATAAATATGTTTTGCAATAAACAATGTTTTGTTGCCCATTAACAAATAAATAAAACTTCAAAAATATATGCTTTTAAACTTGAAATGCTTTCGTCAGAGACCATTAACCTTTTTTAGTTTTAGTTTTAGATTTTTACGTACTCTGCATTGATATCACCAATATCATCCTTTGGTATTCGGGTTGTCACCGAAGACATTTAGGGAATAGCAATCAAGCAGAAAACCCATATAAAGCATATCCTTAATAAGGTAAATTCACGAGCTATTTTTTTATTGGAAAACCTTGTGCCTAATTGCAAGCTATACAATTATTAAGTTACAATGTAAGTAATTACATATCCGGGTTGTAAATTGCATTGCATATATGTTAATCAGGCTTAAGAAGGTATATTTGCAAATTAACAACTACAAAGAAAATACGTTTTCCATATAAAACACTAGTTCCTTGGAAAAAAATAATGCTAAAAACAATTTAAGTACATAAACATATTTAAAATTGTTCCTTCTCACAGATCATTTAGTCATGGCCTTTATAAAAGCGAGCTCAAGTGTATCGTCATTTTCATACCACAAAATCGCACAAATTAGTTGTATTATTTTCGAGTTAACCCAATCATAATCATGCGTAAACAAATGCGTTGTATTTTACAAATATGAAATGCGCAATAAAAATTTACATAATCACAACGATTCTGAAGAAATTCGATAGAATTTTCGTATATAAAGCAAATGATTGGGTAAAATTTAAAGCAGTTATCGTCTTAACTTCTTGAAATGTAAACCTGAAAATGCGTTTCACAATTGCCACCGTTCTTTTGGCTTTTCTGGCCGTTGATCTCGTGATTTGCCGTCCAGCTGGTGAAATCCTTGATGATAATTCGTCTAACAACGATGGAGAAGAAAACACTGCTCAAGAAGGATCTGCCAATGAACAACAACAGGAATTTGTAAATGAAGATAGCCAGGAATCTGCTAGTAGTGAAAATAATGAGGAAAGCAGTGGAGAAGATTCCGATACGCTAAAAAGAGGGGATAACAACAATGAAGAAAGAAACAACGAATCGCAAAGAGTGGAGAATTTACCAGTTCAACTCTTTTAGGCCATAACTACAATTTTTAAAACCAAATGACCTGCTACAATCAAATTAAGCAATCGTCAAAATGTTTGTTACCATGGAAATGTTAAGCTTTTCCACTTAATTAAAAATAAAATACAAAAAAACTTTGTATAATTAAGATAGTAAAGAAGTTTTTCTAACCATGTTATATGATTGTTTTGATTTGCTAAGGATATGATATAATAAATAAATTAATTTGTAACGGAGCGGCATTTTGTTTGTGAGCCAGCCGTTTTACATGTAAGTACAAGAAAAACTTAAGGTACAAAAGACTTTATAAAATCAAATGACTTTTGAAACGTACCGGGTGTAGCTAATTAGCATATATATGCATGTGTCGTTAACCTCATAAACAAAACCGAAATAAGTCATGACATCTAAACTGTAGCTATACAACCATTCCTATCATCATCAAAAGCGAAGTCACAATAGCTTTTTTGGGCAGAATCGCTTGTTGTTAGTCAAATCGTTAAGCATGCTTTTTATATTTGAACAATTGCCTCAGTGGGAGGGGTTTTTACAATAATGACGCACTTTTGTTGTCAAACGGGAAAGTCCAGGAGTTGGGTGGGAAGCTTATGTGGTACCAAGTTACCACACAGCTGTTGTACTGTAACAGTCCTCTGGCCTTGGAATTCGTGGGTTGACGATTACGATCACTTCTCCATTCGGCGCTGGAAATGGGTTTGCAGCCACAAAAGCCATGACCACAAGGGCAATCAGGACGAGTACCATGTAAAAGTGCATGTTTATCAACTTTAGTTATACAAATTTGTTTAAAAGTTTCCAAAGGCGCTAGCCTTTTATATGCAAAATTTGTTTGCTTTAAAATTTTCTATTTGCCAACTGTGCAATGATTGCACTTTACTTTTTAAGCCAATATTTAAATTATATCTAGCAAATGTTTGATCTATACTGTGCAATGACTGCACTTTACTTAGTTAGCCAATATTTAAATTAGAACTAGTAAATGTTTGATCTATGCAACACGAAATAGTCTATACTATTTTGTACTTCCTATTTAAAAATTAAAATTTATTTTTAAACTTCAAATCTAATAATAATTAGTTTCTACGGATAATAAAAAATGTTTTTAACTTCCAAGCAACGGGAGTAAACAAAAAAGTGGTCAATTAAATATATATATACACACCAATTAATATAATTATTAATTTTCAGGATTAAATATATTTGGTAGGAAAATATAGAATCGTAGGTTATCGGTCGGTGATAAATTGTGTTTCTATGTGTGAACAGTTGTATAAACTTCTAACAAAAGGTAAAAACGGGTAAATTAAATCAACTAATGGGTGGATAATCGTCGGTATATATTCCCATTACGTTTACTCTTCATCTTGCTTTTTTGGGCTGCTCTCGTTGCTTTCTTCTTCAGTGTCGTTTTGTGATTTGTCTTCCGATTCATCATCCTGTGATCCAGAGTCATCTAAATCATCCTGGAACTCGGAATTATCTTCTTCCTCATCATCTTGCTCGTGCTCCTCAAATTTTTCTTTCTCATCTGCAATTTCTTTGTCCTCCCCGGAGTCATCCAATTCTTCAATATCGACGAAATTGGCGGAAACTGTGGCCAAAAGCACACATCCAAACAGCGCAAGCAACAGACAGGCACGCATTGTTTTATTTAGTTTTTAACTAAGTTTCAATTTCCTTCCAAAAATTCGCTTTTATAGCAATTCCCTGGTTGCCAAAAAATTATAACCTGGCATGGGTAACAATTGATATCGCCCATTTCATGTTTACTCAGTAACAGCTGTTGCCTTGGTTTGTTGCCCAAAAACGAGGCGAACTCGTGCGTAAACATTGGACTAACGATACAATGGGACCTTCTAAGAATACAGTGAAACTTGATTTTTCAGCATGCTTTTTAAACATATTTATATATTCCATATTTATTATTATTATATTTTTTCTTTTTTTAATCACTTTTTGGATTTTAAAATTAGTTGTTAGTTTTTTCATAGCTTTTATGGAAACATTGGAGAGATTAAAAAGTAATGCAAAAAACAAAGAATTGTTGGATGTGTTAATTCAATTTCAAATTCTCTTTTCGAATTAACAGTTTTTAACACTCTATAAACAAAGCCACTAAATCATTTTAAAAATTATTTATCGTTTTATGATTTATCAAAACACAAGCTCAAGTGTTTCAAGTTAAGGCCATTTTAAACCTTATAAAAAAAAGTAAGCAAAATTGTTTTTCTTCATATGCCTACTACAATCTTAGTGTATGACTCATAACAAATTTTAAGTGCACTTAGTTCCTATTCCTCCAATTATGTTTAATATTTGCACATGTGTTCGGCTTCATTTTTGGGGTAAACGAAAAACAAAACAAAAATTTCAACCAGTAAACTTGAAAATTATCATAGATTTGAAGAACCTTGATGGTTGTTAGCATAGTGTAATCATGTCACAATAAATTGATCGCTTGGAACCAGTTTTCAAAGATATAAAAACAAAGGGAGGCGAATTGAAAATCATAATCACAGTTGCACTCAGCCAGTCTAGATTTAAAAATCATGCGCTCCATAGCTTTTGCCGTTCTGATATTTACCGGAATCCTGGCCCACAGCAATGCAGCTCCTCAGCTGAATTTGGCTTGGCTGCAGGCGATATTGGAGGAGGCTGCTCAAAGTAACTCGACGGTTCGACTTGGAAACAACACGGTTATCATTTCGGGAGTGTCCAATGCCGTTGCCAACAGCAACGATGGAACCATCCGTCCATCTCCCCCATCAAACCAATTGAACAATCAAGGATATAACCCATGGACTAACCAAGGATACCCTTACTACTATAACGGATACTATCGCATTGAACCCACGGTCAACGGAGAGATCGTCGAGGAGTCACAGAGTCATGAGGAATCCCAAGAGATTTCTAATGAGACTTCCCATGATCTCAGTGACGAGGAGTCTGGCGAAGACCAATTCCACCAGGATGATCAAACCGAGGAAGAAGCTGAGGACGAGGCCGATCTTTCAGAGAATCAGCTCGATGAGGATGATGAAGACCAGGGGGAAGATGAACCCCATGACCAATACGAGGAGGCTGCCGACGAGGATATCGAGATTGAGGATGAACAGCTCGATCCCGAGGAAGACGCTGCTGACCAAGAATTGGAAGAACTCGAAAATGAGCTACTCGCCGAAGAATCCAAATAAGCCATATGAATCGAACTCAACCAAAACAGCAAAATAATTTCCATAGAAAAATAGCAAAATTGAAAAACAATTCATACGGAAAAAACTTGTTACTTGCATTTCATTACATATTTTTGGGGTCAATCATAAATAAAAAAACGTTTATAGAAAAAAAAAACTATTTTTGTTTACAGAATATCTTTAGATGACAAGATTAAGTCATAGAAATAAAAGTTCAGAAAAATCAATTTTTCTACAATTCTTTTTATAATAATTTTTTCAAAAGTTAAAAAGATTTAGGAAAATGATAAAATGTTTTCTGATTATTATTCTTTTCTATTTTTTTATCTGGTTTAAATAATATTTTCCATTATTAATATTTTTTTAGATGACAAGATGAAATAAAAATAAATAAGGTAATCA